ATTATCATTATTATTATCATTGCTTTCTAGATCACTACATGTGTTGCTTTTGCTGTTTACATCGACCACTATGGCCGCGTCCATTACGGACGGGGAGATTTTTTCACCTCTGTCCACATCGCGGGGTTTGCAATAGCAATCATCATCTTCTTAGTATTCCTCGTCAGCCTTGAGAATTCTCTCGGCTCTGCTCGATGCTGGAATATACTGGTAAGAAAGTTTATGTAGATCAAGCACTTTTTATGTAGCTCCCTAATTAACGGCATTCTCATATTTTGTGGGCCAAATTGAAAACCAGCCCTTATTGCTGTTTGTAACCAACATAAAATAAAAATTATTGGTATTGCTAATCATTATTATCATCATCATCATGATCATCATCATCGTCATCATCGTCGTCACATCATCATCATCATCATCATCGTCGTCGTCATCACCATCGTCATCGTCATCACCCGCATCGTCATCGTCATCGTCATCGTCATAGTCATCGTCATCATCATCACCATCATCATCATCGTCATCGTCATCGTCATCATTATCATCATCATTATCATATTATAAGAATACTGAAATATCTTTTCAGGCAAAATATATAAAACCGATTTTGAAAATACGTTTTAAAAAAGATAGTTATAAATCAGTACTATTGTGTATTTATCAACAGAACATGGTGGCGTCTTTGATTCTTGGTATATTGTGCATCGTGTCATCTGCCCTGGTCATAGGAGATAGTGGAAAACGCGCACCAGACCCATTAATTGCCGCAATTGTAAGTCTTATTCATATATTTTAACAGTATTATAACATTTCTATATTGCCATATTCCTAAGATCAGGAGCCCATTACTAGGAGCATCCATCTCCCATACTGGGTCTGTGAGCCAGCATATTCCCAAATCAGGAGCCCATTACTAGGAGAATCCGTCTCCCATACTGGGTCTGTGAGCCAACATATTCCCAGATCAGGAGCCCATTACTAGGAGCATCCATCTCCCATACAGGGTCTGTGAGCCATTATATTCCTAAATCAGGAGCCCATTACTAGGAGCATCTATCTCCCATACTGGGTCTGTGAGCCAACATATTCCGAAATAATCAATTGTTTTTATTCTTTTTTTCTTTTTAGGTCTTTGGTTTCATTTCTGGCGTGTTGTTTTTAGTCGACGCGCTCATCCATTTCAAGGAAATCCGCTGATCAGACCTGCAAGTACTGATGTTGAAAATTTCGTTTTCTTGTTTGATACATTTGAATAATTAGCAGTTAAGATTTTTCTTCTTTCTTTTTAAAGAGAACAAATCACATTTAGGGACTATTATTTTGATTTTCGCTAAAAAAAGGATTTTTTTAAAATATATGTTAATAGCTTAACGTGTAAAAGGAACTAAAATGTTAATACTTTTCTTAGATATAAAAAAAATAAGATGAATTATTCGTAAATTCAAACTGTTATGTTTAATAGAGCTTTTGCTCTTCTCTCATAGGGTTTCTATTTTTTAGAGTAAAGTTTTTTAAATACAGAATTGTTGCCTCTCTTTGACATGAGTCACGTGATCATTAGCCGCCATATTGGAAGGCAAATGCAAATTAATTCCCAGGGATTCCTGCTGCTTGCGTTACAAATAGAGCACGTGCAAGTTACGTCATAGCCGCCATCTTGGTTGACGATAACAAAGCATTCCTCATTAGCTTCTCTTGTTAGATCAACCAACATGGCGGCTATTTAATTGTTATTCATATTTCCAGGGATTTTGAGTCACATGGTTGCACACACTGTATAATGAACATTCCCTAAAAATGGCGGGAATTTCGTCATCAATCGATCATCAATAGTCCCTTTCACAGTTCTCTGCGCMATCTTGAATGGTAACTGCCCGTGCATTGWAGTGAGAACGGCGGTGACCTTGCAATGATAGACATGTGAAAAAACTACCCAAGTTGTTAAAAAATGGACTCTAAAACCATTGCATACCAGCTGAGCGGTGAAATTTGTTTCAGCCAATCACAGCGCGTTTAGCTGTTTTACCGCCGGCCCTCATTCCCAGGTTACTGCAACCCAACTTTTGCGGTTTTGTCTCTGTCTTCTTTTGACTAAAATATAATATACGTGTCTACAAAAAGTAAAAATATGGAAAAGCAAGAATAAAATCAATTTCACTTTATCACTATGTTTGCTTCGTTCTTTCAAGCTAAAAAAATGCTTACGGCCGGTTATTCTGTCCRCTTTGCGCGCCGACTTCACCAATCATCTGGTAGGTCTCGCTTGTACAGGCACGGTTACCTTTCAAGATGGCGCGGGGAACTGTGAAGGGGAACAGACTATTATGAAGTCAAAGTCTAGTCAGAAAATAGCCATGTCATATATTTGATCACGTGATTATTGAGTGATTATCATAGCGCGGTTCTCGTAYGAGTGGGAAACATGCGGTACGGTACTGACTTAAAGCACGTACACGGTAAAACATGCCGTAACACTGAAATGGCTTCCCATAAAAATGGTTCTCATATGAGTCGGAAACATGCGGTACTGACTTAAAGCACGTACACGGTACGACATGCCGTAACATTAAAATGGCTTCCCTTAAGAATGGTTATCGTACGAGTGGGAAACAAACGATACTKACTTAAAGCACGTACACGGTACAACATGCTGTAACACTGAAATGGCTTTCCATTGTCTTCCACTAATCCATCCAATTACAACGCGTAGTTATGGCTACGGTAAGATACAATACGGCTACATTATAACTACGAATTGACTGTATCTTTTCCCATTCATGCGAAAATCTCTCTAGATATAAAAGTATTGTAAACCCTAACCTGCTAACTATAACTGTATGACTCATTGCCAGMCGTGTCGTGTTGATTAATTGCTAAAGTTCATATGTCACTCTCAGGCCATTAAAAATCAATTTTTCTAAAGTACATCGRTCAAAGCTTTAAAAGGCGATGAAAAGTTACCCTCGTCAGGTGATTCAATCACACTCTCGTGCCAGTCTCTTCCCGAGTGAGCGATGGGCGTGTTTGTTYATAAAGAGCCGTGCTATTCTACGTAATTTGATTAAGAGAGCAGTGTAGGGTTCGCTCATTTGCTTATACTCTGTGCAGTTGTCGCAGAAGTCTACACCTGGCTTTGCTAAACATGGCTACGAATCGTACCTATGCTTGTGGAAGAGGATTACTGAAGCTGCTACTAGTGGTGAGTCAATCGGCCACGATAAACAACACACACTGAATTACACAAATTCTAAAAGGTGCTTGGAATGAATTCGCCATCGTTATACATTCCCTTCGTGAATCTATACACTCCCTACATAATTCTCTGCATAAATATTAACATGAAAACATCCTTAGAATTTGAAAAATTAGGAAAAGTCTCTATTTTGTTTCTCGAAACAGCAACAGAATACAAGCCTGCGATTCAAAGCACATGAAAGGCTTTATGTCACGCCACAATCAATCACTCAGCTTGATATTATTGTTCAGAATTCCAGTTTAGCCGGAGAAATATCAAATATAGTTCAGTCCAACAGCTGATTCTGTAATTATTTCCTAAATAGCTTTCTATTTCTATTTTTGGGAGTGAAAAAGTAGAAAATGTTCCAGCGAAATTTCACTGAAAATGGGCGTAACATGAGCTATATTTGCAATTATAATCTCAATTCACTTGTATGTCATATCATATGTTGACTTATTCAAAATCGTTACATCATAAATCAAAAACTCAAGTTTCTGTTTCCAATTTCACAAATGGAAATCTTTTATTGTCGGAAAATTCAAGCGAGAGTCTTTTAAGTCATGAAGCAATTACCACTTAATGACTTTTAGGAATTATGAAAGCTCTTAGTATTAAATAAGTCGATAATTCATGGCTTAGAATTCAGGRCAGCGATCTTTGAAACATCTTTGTTTAGGAAATAGCTTGGTTGTATTTTGTAAACATCTCGTTCGCTTGCGTGACTGTATCTTCTAGAACATAGGTGAGTTTGTGTCAATATTTTATCACTTAGCATCTGAAGACTTTGGTTAAGAAAAGATTTATCGCATCTGAAATCAAATTTATCTATCCAAAAAGATATGTTGCACTCTCTCTCGCAAAGGCAATTACGGTTAAATGTTGATTTGTTGATCTGTGCGAAAGAATTTTACTTAAACAAATTGAACATATTTTTCGTTGAGAATAATTTATGAGACTGGCTCCGGTTAGTTCAAAATTCTGCGGTTGCTGACATGCTTGAATCATCCTTAAACTCATGTTTTTTTTATATATTCTCATACTTACTCTTTTTGTCTTCATTTTTTCCCAATACTTGTGCTTTTTCGTAGCAGATTTTGTAGCCTGACTATGGGCTGTCATATCCTCTCTATATCTGTAAAGGCAAATTTAATAACTAATTGGTATTTGTGGATAGCAGACGGCTAGAATTTAGGCTGTCGAGCTTATTCCAGTGTCAGTTTAGTTTCAGATCATGCTAAATATTGTTTCAAAGATTTTGAATCAGCATATTACACAACTCCCACCACGTGCTTCTAATCACGTGACACTGACATGTCGCGCGTCAAACCACGCGTCATTCCCTTGAGTATTATTTCTTTTGTTTAWTCTAATCTTGAAAAGATACATCAGGGTGAAGCTCAAGAAAATAATTTTATCCTTAAATGGAATTGCACGTGGAAAACGTAGCACGTGTTTTTCCACCTCAGGCAACGTGTCATTCCCTAGAGTATTATTTTTTTGATTAACGGTCGTGCATGAGAAGACACATGAATATGGAATAGGGATTCAAACAAAGAATCTCATTCTCAAGAGAATGACACGTGGTCTCAAAAAGGAAAAAAACACACCCAAGCYAGAGGTCGGTTAGTTCATCTGGTGTGTTTCTTGGGTTCCCTGTGGCTGAATGATTCATTACCTCTTTTCTTATGCTTGGGTTCCCTGTGGTTTGATGGTCATTGCCTTGGGCCTTAAGCTTGGKATACCTGTGTTATATTTCAGATCACCTCTTGCGTTGCTTTCGTCTGCATGATCGTCGCTGACGACAAGACTACATTCAAATCCGAYGAATACAAAAGACGATACTCGTTCTTCCTRTTCGCACACATCGCCGGTGCTGCCTCATCTCTGGTCATTTATCTTGTCTTCCTCTGTAACGTGGACGGTTCGATCGGGTCCAGAAAATGCTGGAGTTTCCTGGTAAGTTTTCCACCCTTGTGRCGCCATAGCYGCCAYGTTGGTTGACTTGGACAAAAAGATTTTGTCTTCTTTTGTTTTTAATTCAACTAATAAATAATCCATCCCATGAACCCCGTCACCTTGGAAACCATTGCCATGGATACCTAACAATGCTCGTGTTTCGCAGGTTTTYCTGATTTCATTGGCAGCGGCTGTGGTGTATATTGTAGCTTCTGCATTGCTCACCGAGAGAGCCAAGGACGAGTTTGAGAGTGGTTTGTACAAGTTACTTGAATCTTGGAAGACTATGGCTGACTTGCGTGTAACCGCCGTGGTGAGTAGCATTTTTTT